AGATCAAATCCTTTAAAACAAATATTTTCTCCAGGTTTTAGATGTGTTTCCTGGAGTGCCACACAGAGAGATGAAGTAGATGATGTCAAGTGTTTAATGTCAGAGAAGTTGTTGCGGAAACCACGACAGTTCCATTGGATTATTTTGTAATCCATTATGTGTTTGAGGCAGCATTTTTCACAAGGGTATCCCTCTTCAATTTCACAGGGGGTTTATCTTTTGGGGGTGACATTGGTTTTTTCACCTCCATGTTAGGCTCTTCATCAGAGATATCAGAGAAATCACTCATGGACTGAGTCTCTGATCTTTTAGCTTTAGAGAGGGTTGCTTTTAATTTTTGTTTGTTAAGTGGGTTCTTATTTGCTTTCTTAGAACCCACATTTCTGGTTACTACCCGTTTTAGGTAGGGATGTCTTTTTCTTGATACTCTCCTTTTCTTCAATTTGTTTTGATTGGGTCAGCAAACATTTTGCGTGTTGAGTGAGAGATTTTTTTGGGGAGATAGAAATATCTGTTTGAACCCCACATGTCTTAGTACATTTCAACGCAGCAGCAAAGGTCTTTTGTTTCGTTGTTGCACTTGGGGTGGCCATGCGACGGGCCTCTGTGTATGATACGTTGTTTACGGTTTTTATCCATTGCACCTCTTTTTCTCTCTGCCACGCAGGGCATTTCCGGGAGTAGGAAGGATGGGCATCTTTACAGTTCACACAGCATGGGAAACTGTTACATTTGGTACTGTCATGGTCTTCTCTCCCACACTGTGCACATACGTTTTGCCTCGGCAGGATGTTTGTGAATGTCCAAATCGCTGGCATTTGAAGCAACGCAGTGAATTTGGAATGTAATAACGAACAAGGCAGCGCAGATATCCTGCAGTAATGAAGGATGGCAATGTTGGCTTGTCAAATGTGACAATTAAATGCTTTCTTGGTATTAACTTGCCGTCTCGATGAATGGAGATGCGTCGGACAACAGTGACACCTTGATCTGAAAGACCGATCTGAATATCTGATTCATCTTCAGACATTAGGTCGATCTCAGATATCACACCACGTGATGAGTTTAGACTTTTGTGTGATGTGATTGAGACTCCCATTTCTCCAAGTGTTTTCATTGACAAAAGCTTTGTTGTTTGTTGAGGAGAGGCTGTTTCCACCAGGAGGTCACCTGACCTCAATTTCTGTATTTTCTTTAAGTGCCCAATTGTTGATTCAAACAATTTTTGGATCAAAAATGGAGAACACTTAGATAACTGTTTTTCTCCAGTTGCGTGGACTACTAAGTACACTGGCTGACTGGAGGTCTTTTCATTTGTCATTGTTAGCTTGTTTGGAATTTTTGTATTTTGAAAATCCATATTTAAAAATAAATATTCAGCTCCCAGTGACCCCACCCACCATGGGGCCCAACAAGGAGATGCTGTCACATGGGAGCCTCCCATAGACCGTCACATCAGGATTTCCCAGGAGCTATACCCTCACAATGCAGTCAAGAAAAGCACATCTTGTCTGACATGTCCGCATCAATCGATTGACTCCAAGCCGAGGTCAAGAATGACTCAACGACCAGCCGATTGACTCAAACGGAGCCTGATTTGAGCCTCCCGTTTATCCGAAGCAGGGGCCAAAGCAGTGTGTTCGGGATGTTATATTGCCGCTCAACTACCAGGATCCCCCTTTCCGGCATATGGGACACCACGCACGGCAAACACGTGGGTGGGCATTCAGATCCCAGGGATGGTAAAGAAGACTTACTAAACCATCTCTGGGAGGTCCCCTCACCATGGACAAAAACCCACACCTAGGGGATATTCCTCATTAGATGAAGAATGGAAATTTAAAATTGTTTTTCACTTTGGGCTTTATAAGCCTGAAAATTTCTTGGTTACATAATATTACTGGATGAAGACGAAAATGTTTCTCCCAACAAATCAGCAATACCCTGTATAATGCTGACTATTGTGCCATTATTTTGTAGCACGGACAGAGAGTGAGAAGCATATTTCCCATTGATTTTATGGATTTTATCCCAGACTGCTTTTGAGCTAGTGGATGATGTTATGCTAGAAACATACTTCCTCCAGGAATCCCTTTGGCTTTGCCTTCTTATTCTTCTGGCATTTGCCTTTGCTTTTTTAAAAGCAGTGAAATTACTAGAAGTATCTTCTGAAAATCCCCCATGCTTTCTTTTGTGCTTTAAATGCTGCCTTGCAATTTTGATCCCACCATGGTTTCAAATGCTTTGAATATCTGGTTGATGTTTTCCCCATTGTTTTTTCAGCTGCCTGTATAATACTAGAAGTGACAACTTCAACTGCGTCATTGATATCAGCAGTATTGACCATTTCCTCAGTGATGTTTGCCAAAGAGGAAAATGCAGGCCAATCTGCCGTTTCCAGTTTCCAGTGTGGTGGACGCGCTGTTTCACAGCTTTCTCTGCCTCGATATTTTACAAAAATTGGAAAGTGGTCACTAGAGAGTGGATTAGATCCAACCTCCCATGTAAATGCTGATAACAGTTTCGGAGTTGCTAATGATAGATCAATGGCAGTGAACGTTCTTGATGGAGCATGGAAGTATGTCACTTCTCCTGTATTAAATAAATACAGTTGTTGATTGCCAATGAATCTTTCAATGGTCCTGCCTCGACGGTTAATGTCGGGACTGCCCCACATTGGATTGTGACCATTGAAATCACCGAGTAAAAGGAAAGGAGTTGGCAGCTGTTCAACTA